TTCACTTTATCTAGAAATGTGCTGTAGGATTTTTTGAGATAAGGAAGAGAGTGTATGTCAATACTGTGTTTAAACATGGGTGGCAAGCAAGTGATGTTGTGTTTGATATTTTGTACTTTATGAGATATTAGTTCTACGTATTTCCGGTGTAATCTAATACTTTAGCGTCCTCTCTTAACTCGTGTTCTAGGAGCAGATCAGATGTAAGTGTCTCGTTATTTAGCCCTTTTATTTATTTTCTTATAGCAGTTTATTGAGTTTATCATCGTAATTAATTGTATATTTCTTGTAGTTTTCACCGTGTGATTTATAGTAAATAAATAGTGGAGTTGGAGCCTGTTTCGTTTACGAATCTCATACGGTTGACACTCGGCGCAAGATCACAACGCCCCGCACTGTCTTCGAGCGCTACAGTGAAAGCTTCGCAAGTAGTTCAAAAATCTGATTCCCAAGGAGTCAGAAATCTTCGAAAGGAGTCAAGGAGAAATACAAGACGACTTTATCGTCGCCTCCACGCACCCAACGCTTGGAGTTTCTGGAGTTTTGAAGGTTGTTTCCTCGATCTAAGGTCAGAACTTTGTTTATTCCTTAACCATCGCCGTCCTTGACATCGAGTATCTTGTTAGTATATTATTCAAGTCATCTGAAGCTATAGTTTCACAATCATTTATCGACTTCTTGCCAATCTTCACTGTTGGASAAGTTATTGAAGTTTATACGTTTGGGCTCCCTGTGTCAAAATGAGCCTCCATCCTGATTGGTCAGCGGGGGCACAAGGAACCCGACAAAAACGGCCATTCTGCCCCACGGAAAAGGCTCTGGAAGCTGAAATTGATAAATCAAAGAAAAACCTCGCAGAACATGGCCGAAAATTACAAAAAATGATTGACATTGTTTTGAAAAGTGAGAAAGGTCCAGACAAAACTATTATCGAGTCGCTAAAGGAGAGGGTCGAGATTTATCGTGAAGCACTCATTCATCTCACTGAGCTTTATGGAAAAGATAAGTGGGGGAACCTAAAAGAGAACCTGGAAGACGAGTATGAGCTTCTTGGAAAAGCGAGAGCAATTCTGCAAAAACAACCAGTCAATCTAGCACCAACTTTCACTAGCCAGCGCTCGCCTAAACGTTCCCCCAGTCGTCTGAACATCGTCGAGCCTGAAAAAGCACCAAGCTTCATTAGTCAACGATCGCTCACACGCTCTCGCGCCTCGCAAATGTCGTCATCAAGTTCAAGTAGCTCGAGAAGAAAAGCAATTGCCGAGCTTGCTGCTGCTCAAAAGCAAGCCGAGTACGACCGGCTGATCGCAGAAAAGGAGAACCAAAGGAGAATGCGCGAAGCAGATGAAAGGAGACGGAGAGAAGAAGAGGAGGCTAAACATGAGCTCGACATAGCGCTCCTCGCAGCAGATCGCGCAAAAGCAATAGCTAGCGCTCGACTCGATGCAATCGAAAAGTGCCTTAACGAAGAAGAGGAAGAACAAGCTAGAACAGGCTTGGACGACCTTCTGGTTGAACTCGACGAACGACCCCGTACCGACCCTCAAGAAAAAGTTATCGCCTGGATGGATGATAGAAAGCCGTTAGCAGCATCCACACCGGCACCCAAACAAGACTATACTCTGGAAATGCTGGAGACATTTACGACCACCAACCAGCGACTTGTCTCAGGTCTCACGAAGCAAAGCCTACCGAAGTGTCGCCCCGATGTGTTCGATGGCGAAGTTACTCTCTTCCACCCCTGGAAGAGGGCCTTCAAGGCCATGATGGATGACGCTGACGTCACCCCAGCTCAAGAAATGAACTACTTGCGAAGCTTCACAAAAGGGGATGTGCAGACGCTAGTAGACAATTACCGCAAAAGACATCACACCGACCAAGCCGCAGTACTCAGCGAGCTCTGGAAAGAATTAGAGCGGAGATTTGGAAACACGGCAGCCATAACGAACTCGCTTCTCCAGCGCCTCAAGGAAAAGGCCTCCTTCACTGAAAAAGACTTCGAAAGCCTACAAACGTTTGCCGACCTCTGCATGGACATTTCTAGCCAACTGGACTACCTACCTGGTCTGTTGTGCTTAAGTTACCCTAACGTCATGCGGCCTATCGTCGAAAAACTGCCTAGTTTCCTACGATCGAGATGGGAGAAAGATATCGTTGATTATGCGGATAGACACGACGGTAGTTACCCCGGCTTCAAAGAGTTCGCTTCAATGGTCCGTCGGCAAGCCGAGAAAAAGAACCACCCCAATGTTAARGCCAGTGGAGTGCAGAGTTATGATAACGCCGAAAGACCCGGAAGAAGAGTCAACAGAGACCAACCCAACGTGAAACGCGTTTTAAAGACAACTAAGCAAACAGAGCAGAGTTACTGCAAGTTCCACAACCGTTCAGGCCACACCTTAGTTGACTGCAAGGCCTTCAACGAGAAGACTCTTGAGGAGAAGAACGCTTGGATACTCGAGCAAAAACTGTGTTTTCGCTGTTTTGAATCCGGTCACATTTCTAAAAACTGCAAAGAAAGCATCGTTTGCGCAAAGTGCGACAGCAAACTGCATCCAACTACGCTCCACAAAGACAAAGAGAAGGACGTCAAGACAGCCTGCACTTCGGTGTGCCAGGTGGGAGGGATGTCGTGCGCAAAGATTGTCCTCGTCGACGTCTTCTCTTCAAATGATCCTGAAAACTGTCAACGCGTCTACGCAATCATAGATGATCAAAGCAACGCTTCCATGATCTCGCCTCAACTCGCAGACAAGCTTAAGGTCAAAGGTCCTGCTGAAAAGTACTTTCTCTCAACCTGCAGTGGAGAAAAGATGGAGAAGCACGGACGGAGAGCGAGCGGTATTTCTATAAGATCCCATAGCAGGACATTTAAGCTTCCTACTCTCGTCGAATGCCATCAAATCCCACAAGACAAAAGCGAAATCCCAACTCCGGAAATTGCTAAGCGCTTCGAGCACCTGAAAAGCATCGCCTCGGAAATACCTCCACTTGATCAGCATGCAAAGGTCCACTTGCTCATTGTAAGAGATGCACCAGAGCTTCTTAAAGTTAGAGAGTCAAGGAACGGTCCCAAGGGAGCTCCGTGGGCCCAGAAACTAGATCTCGGATGGACCATCTCCAGACAGGTGTGCGTGGATCGAATCGGAAGACCCGTTCATCTATCGACCAAACGCACGGCTCTGAATATGGCGTCTAACGAACCCGTTCAAATTCAGGCCATTCACTGCCCCAACATGTTCAAAGTAAAAGAAACCCTCACCCAAGAAAAGAAAATAAAGGAGGACATTTTCTACACAAGCCCTCTTGACAACGAAGTGGACATGTCAATAGAAGACAGAAGATTCATGTCAATAATGGAGACGGCAGCACGCAAAGACCAACTAGGAAATTGGGAGCTTCCCCTCCCATTCCGCAGCAGCAATGTATGTTTGCCCAACAACCGGGAACAAGCCAAAAACCGCCTCGCTGGGCTTCTAAAGTCACTCAGACGAAAGCCCAAGATGCAGAGCGACTACCTTGGTTTCATGGGCAAGATACTGGCAAAAGGTCACGCAGTTGAGCTTCCTGCCTCACGGGCCGAGYGTCGCGACGACGACGGTCACGTGTGGTACCTTCCACACTTCGGGGTGTATCACCCCAAAAAGCCCGATAAAATCCGGGTAGTCTTCGACTCCTCGGCGGAATTCCAAGGCGTGTCGCTAAACAAACAGCTGCTAACCGGCCCCGACCTTGCCAACGGTCTGTATGGAGTACTTCTTCGGTTCCGCGAGCACGCCACTGCTGCCATGTGCGACATCGAGCAGATGTTCCACTCCTTCAAAGTGGAACCAAAGCACAGAGACTTCCTGCGCTTCTTGTGGTACAAGAAMAACGACCCAGACAAGGAAATAATCGAATACCACATGACTGTGCATCTTTTTGGCAACGGGCCAAGTCCTGCGATTGCGACCTACGGCCTACGGAAAACAGCAGACGATGGAGTGGAAATTCACGGCGAGGAGGCTAGAGCCTTCATTCACGAAAATTTCTATGTGGATGATGGTCTTGTATCGCGAGAGAAGCCCGAAGATGTCATCAAGCTGATCAAAGCAGCTCAAGGATCTCTTATGACGGCCAACATAAGGCTGCACAAGGTCATCTCAAACTCAACGGAAGTAATGAAGGCATTTCCCGCAGACGACAGAGCCTCCAGTGTACAAGATCTTGATCTCAGCCATGATGTCCTCCCAGCACAACGCTCCCTCGGAGTCATCTGGAACCTAAAGAACGACTCATTTGCATTCAAGGTTCAAACCGAAGAGAAGCCATTCACTCGTCGAGGCGTCTTGTCAGTCGTTAACTCCATTTACGACCCAATCGGCCTAGCAGTACCTGTCACTCTTAAAGGGAAGCTACTTCTCCAAAGACTTGTATCTCTTGGAAAGGAAAAGAACGGGAAAGCTTTGGGCTGGGACGATCCCCTTCCAGACGATCTGGCTCTTACATGGCAACAATGGAGATCATCTCTTCCAAATCTTGAGGAGGTCGAAGTACCCAGGTGTCATCACAGCATTGGTTTCGGCAATACGACCAGAGYCGAAGTACACGCATTCTCAGATGCGAGCCAGGAGGCTGTGGGAGCAGTTGTTTTCCTGCGACTTCTAAACGGAAGAGGAGAGGTCAGCGTGTCTTTACTGTAMGGCCAGTCTAAGGTAGCTAGCAAAGTAACCAGCATCCCACGATTGGAGTTATGCGCCGCCGTTATGGCCACACAAGCCGTCCGCAAAATCTTGAAAGAGATTCGTCTGAAGATCGACGAAGTAGCCTACTACACGGACTCGAAGGTAGTACTCGGCTACATAGAGAATGAAAGTAGAAGATTTTATGTTTACGTTGCCAACAGAGTGCAACTTATTCGAGGCCTCTCTACGCCGCAACAATGGAGATACGTCGAAACCGACCAGAACCCAGCAGACCTTGCTACCAGAG